ACAGAGGTCCATAGCGTTCGCTAACTATTATAGGAGGTTTATAAAATTTTCTCTACCGTTATAGCCCCCATCACAAACCTTACTAAGAAGGCTGTGAACCACTATGCTTGGCCCCCTGAGGCAAGGGAAGCCTATGAGAGCCTGGAAAGAGCTTTTCTTTCCGCTCCTATCCTCAGACATCCTGACCCTTCACTTGCTTTTGTATTGGAAGTAGATGCTTCTGAGGTAGGAGTAGAAGCTATTCTTTCCGAGCAGTCTCCTGACCACCCTTTGCAGCCATTCGGTATCTTCTCTAGGAAACTCTCACATGCGGAATGGAACTATGATATTGATAATAGAGAATTATTGGCCATTATCGTAGCCTTGAATGAGTAGAGACATATCCTAGGTTTGAAAGATCCCATCATGGTGCTAACAGATAAGAACCTTCTGTACCTTGGAGAGGCGAGAAATTTGAATTTCAAGTAAGTGAGATGATCTCTCTTCCTGTTCAGATTTAATTTATAATTACTTATAGTCAAATATAAAAAGTACAGATTCACCCACTGGTGGATAGAACACACTCTTAGTGGGTAATAGTTAGAAAACTAAACAGTTACCCTTGGACTAAATGTATTGCAGATAAGGACTCCTCCAGGTCCTCAATAGATATGGAAAAAAGGTAAATCTACAATACAGTAATAACAGAAAAAAACATAGCGTAATACTGTTAACTGGGAAAGGGGAGTGGAAATATGGGTAGTAATTCACACTCACAAACCAAAATTGATTGTAGGCATATCTTATAAAACGATGAATATCTCAGGATAGGTGGAACATCATGGTGTACATAGAAGGGAACAAAGAGGCATAGTAGCGCAGAGTATCTTGGTAAAAAATACACTTTAATGATAAGGCACACTTACAATATTGTAGTGGCAAGCAGGCATATAAAATCAACCGGTCTCAGGATCACAGGATAAATCACAGGATCAACAGAACCAGAAAATCAAATCAAATAAAATGAAATAAAAAAACCTAATAAATAAATAATAAAAACTCTGGAACACTATAAATCAGCCCTACGCGTTTCGTTCAAACGTCCTTGAACTTCCTCAGGGGAAAAAGAGTCCTTCTATGTGTAGGTATAACCGTCCATATTATATTGATGGCTTTTAAATCCGTCCGGTTTGGCGTGTCGAAAATATCCTCCAATTGTCAGCTCGTTTCCGGGTTCGCCCATCTGTAATGCTTCCGGGTGCAACCTGCTGACGCAACCGGAAATGCGGCTCACGTCTCTCTTCCGGATCACTACCTATGCGTTCCACCTGATATGCGTTCCACCGCTCATTTACAGAGCGGAGAACAACCATAAATAATAAAGAAAAATTTAACAGCATATATATACACAATATTAATTATATCAATAGTTATAATCTTAGACATAATAGTATTATCTAAAAAAATAGATCTTTGACAATACTTCTCTTAATAAATGCACAAAATATGGCATAAAAAATATTTCATTCCCAGAAAATACATATAATTAATTAGACAACATTGTCAAAACAGATATTTGTCAATATTAACCCCTTAAGGACTGGACCTTTTTTGCGATGTTGTACATTTGCGACCAGGCATATTTTTACACTTTTGTGGTGTTTGTGTTTGGCTGGAATTTTCCGCTCTCTCATTTACTGTTCCCATACAAATTATATATTGTTTTTTTCAGGACAAAAGGGGCTTTCTTTACATACCATTATTTATATAATCTCATGTATTTTAATTTAAAAAAAATAAAAAAATATGATGAAAAATTGAAAAAAATACATGTTTTTTGACTTTTACTTGAAAAATCTTTTACTCATCTACAAAAGCGAATTAAAAAAACTGCTAAATAGATTCAAAATTTTGTCCTGAGTTTAAAAATACCCCGTGTTTACATGCTTTTTTTTGCATGTTATAGGGCTATAGGTACAAGTAGAATATTGCGGTTTCAAAACATAAATTTTTTAAATTTATCAATAGTGACATTGTAACACTATTATCTGTCATAAATCTCTGAATAACACCCCACATGTACATATTTTTTTTAAAGTAGACAACCCAGGGTATTCAATATGGGGTATGTCCAGTCTTTTTTAGTAGCCACTTAGTCGAAAACACTGGCCAAAGTAAGCATTCATATTTGTTTGTGTGTGAAAAAAGTAAAAAAACTAAATTGAACGCTAATTTTGGCCAGTGTTTGTGACCAAGTGGTTACTAAAAAAGACTGGACATACCCCATTTGCAATACCTTGGGTTGTCTTCTTTTGCAAATGGTATGCCATCATGGGGGTAATTCTCATTCCTGGCTACCATACGCTCTCAAAGGCAACGTAACCAACCTGGCCATTTTTAATGTAAAAATATTTGACCCATATATTTGACCTTGTAACTTTCAAAAATGCTATAAAACCTGTACATGGGGGGTACTGTTTTACTCGGGAGACATCGCTGAACACAAATATTAGTGTTTAAAAACTGGAAAACGTATCACAACAATTATATCATCAGTAAAAGTGCTGTTTGTGTGTGAAAAATGCAAAAAAAGTCACTTTCACTGACAATATCATCGCTGTGATATGTTTTACTGTTTTGAATCACTAATATTTGTGTTCAGCGAAGTCTCCCGAGTAAAACAGTACCCCCCATGTACAGGTTTTAGGGTGTCGTAGAACGTTACAGGGTAAAATACAGTGCTAGCAAATTCAATTCTCTGGAATTTCGGCCTGGGTTGGCAGGCAGGTCCCTCAAATTGCAATCAATAAAATTACTGAATTATGTAAAAATATTACATAAATACGCACGTAGAATTTAAATATATATGCATATTTATATATTTGAAGTCTACGTGTATATTTATATAATTATTTATGTAATTTTGTATATGGACATATGTATATTTCTTATTATTTTTATTTATTTTTATATACATAGATATATATACAAATTCATTCTAAGTGTATTTTGATATAAATATATATATATTAATTTTAAAATACAGTTAGAATAAAATTTCATATAGATATAATTTTTTTTAATTTTTTTATTATTATTTAAAAAAATTTTATTTAATTTAAATTACTTATTATTTATATTTTATAATATATATATATACAATATATATAGTTATTATATATATTATATATATACGTGCGTAATTTAATTATAAGTGTATTTTTATATTAATATAAGTACATATTAATATAAAAATACACTTAGTATGACATTATATATATGATAGATAGACATATATTATATAGATATAATATATGTCTATATATCATATTTATACACATATATAATTTTTAAAAATTTTTTTATTAACACTAACTTTATTTTTTTTTTGATTTTACACTAGCAGGGAGACTGCCTGTCAGCACAGACAGTCCCCCTGCAGGCAGACACACATGGACACCTATTGTGACCATGTGATCGCTGTGTTAAGCGATCACATGGCCACAGGGGTCCTAAATCAGTGTGGGGAGACTGTCTGGGCTGCAGGCAGTCTCCCCACAACCGGAGCAACGCTGATCGCCGCCGGGGGAACGACGGCGATCAGGTAAGTACCCCCTGACCGTTAGGACGGTTCAGGACCGTCATCGGTCCTCAAGGCAAAAATGCCGATGACGGTCCTGAACCGTCCTCGGTCGCTAAGGGGTTAAAACTATATACAAAAAGAAGTGCAGAAAGTACATAAAAGAAGGTGTCAATCAAAGAAAGCAAACCAAATCGAAATCGACGTTAAGTCCCCTAGGTTGCATTGTTTGTAAAGTGTGTATCCAATATCCCTCTCTTTTTCTCAATAGTAACATCAGATCTCCACCTCTTTCATCTAAGGCTACTTGTTCAATGATGGTACATTGGAGGGTATTAAAGTTAAAAAATTGACATTTATTACAGTGTACTGGCACTGAATGTGTCAACATATGATTTTTAATATTATTCCTATGCTCCTGGAACCTAACTTTTGCTTTTCTTCCTGTTCTTCCCACATATTGCAACCCACACCCACATGTGAGTAGGTATACAACATGTGTTGAAGAACAGGATAGAGTACCTTTGATTTTAAACCTTCTCTTATTGACCGTGCTCACAAAACTCGTGATACTATTATATTTGTGATTACAACTGACGCAACTCCCACATGTGTAGTAACCTTCTTTACGTTTTATTTTGCTCTTTCCAGATCTAAAAGTACTTGGTGCTAAAATTTGCTTTAGATTGACTCCTCTCCTAAATATAACTTTAGGAAGATGAGGAATCTGTTGATTAAGATATTCATCCTCTATTAATAACCCCCAATGCCTTTTAATAATCCTCTGTATATCGAAGGCCATAGAACTATATTGCGTATTAAAAGAAAAGTCAAATACAGGATTCCTGGAGACATCCTTTCTCTTATCCATAAGAAGATCATTACGATTGATACTTCCCACCTTATTGATCTCTGCGTCCAAAAGTTCTGAATTGTACCCCTTCTCCAAAAAACGACCTTTCAAAACTTCAGCTTGTGTGTAAAATGAATCTAGATCACTACAGTTTCTACGCATCCTAATAAACTGGCTTTTGGGAACTCCCTTTAGCCAGTTAGGATGGTGCCCACTTCTGATATCAATGAAACTGTTGATATCAGTGTTTTTAAAAAAGTTTTAGTTTTGATAGTTCCATTTTCAATACAAATAGACATGTGGCGGAACCAACCTCGCCACTATGCACTGGAGAAGCCTGGTTGCCAGCCTCCTGCCATGTGACTATGGCCCCTGGGATGTATTGCCCTTTAAAGACATGATTTGGGCATAATGGATTTGTGTTGTGCTGCTGCTAGCCCTTTTAAGAACCATCTGGGGACATATTGTGGAGTTACTGGGTGAAAGGTAAATCTGCTACTCTGGTGACTCGGTCCCTCTGGTCACTATTCTCCAACCCTCGATTGTCAGCTGAATATTCAGGGAAGATTTTTATGGAAGCGTATTAACCAGACACACACTTTTTGCTCTCCATAATCTTCTGATCGTTTATTCAAGATTCGCTATATTTATACTATACTTGTCACGAATATTGGTTACAAAAGGTTACAAAAAGGTTACAAAAAGGTTACACAAGATACATAAAAGAGGAAGTAGTTTCTGCTGTTACATTCAATAATCTAATCTTACAAAATATCACATATACATTGTGGTTAGGCATTTCCTGATACATAGAAACTGTCATAGCTTGTGACTTCCTTTCAATTATGTTTTGCAAGCAGTTCTGAAATACTGACAGATTAATTGTTTAACCCCTTAAGGACCAAATTTCTGGAATAAAAGGGAATCATGACATGTCATGTGTCCTTAAGGGGTCAATATTCCTTCATTTCCCCCTCTTTGAGCAATATCTTGCTCATACCCTATTTAAGGAGTCCTGGTCAGACAACCAGCCATCTGCCATGGTATATTCAGGATTGCTAGCCAATCCTGCAGGTCTTTCATTATGTCTTCGGCCACTATTCCCATAGCATAGGACTAGGCATCTGACCAGTACCTCAAACTTATAGATCTGTATCAGCATGTTCACCATTGCTTCGGTTATGTGTATACATTTGGAGATACTCATCATATCAAGCTGGGGATTTTACAGGAACAGTGTTGCGTGTATGTTTGTAAATGCAGAATACAATAATCTTGAAAATAGCATAAACAAGTAGAGCAAGGATCAGAACCATAACAATAAGTATTGCAATATTCTTTAGCCAGTCTAGGATACTGTCAAACTTAAACATATCTGCCCATGGGTGATCAATACCTGAATTCCTCTTCATTTCTATGGACAGGTCTTCTAATTTCTTTATATCTAGGGTTACTTTACCATTAGGGCCAGTGTTCTCTGGAATATAGGTACAACAAACACCGGAGTCAAGTATTTTACAGACTCCTCCCTTTTCTGCTAAAATCATATCAAGGGCCATTCTATTCTGGAAAGTCATTTGTGAGGTAGCCTGTAATTGTTCAGCAAGACCTTGTAATGCATCTCGTGTATAATTTACAAATCTTTGCTGATTATAATACATATAATTCATCCAGTTAACATTCTTGTTAGCTGTTATAATGGGAAATATTGATTCAAATCCTGCTGCCACCTCGTCTCTAGCTTTAAATTCATTAGGAACCCCTCTTGGAATACCAATGGCATCTAGATAGATATGTGGGTTGAAACTACCTTTTCCTTCTTGTGGAATCAGTTACAACCTTAATTTCAGGGAGAGAGTCGCCAAATATATGGAGGGGCATGATTATTTTGGCTGGGGCACATTCTCCTCTCCAGGGGGTGGGGAGTCTAGAACGTATTTTCATATCTCCACATATTCAATAAACATCTCCCACAGATTGTGTTTGATTCACTAAGGTACAGAATCCTGAAGAGAAGTTATCAAATTGTGTACCCACCTTACCATTATTATTTCCCTGAAAACAAGTATAATTACCAGGACATACTGGGACAACATCATTTAAATTAAACTTGGGTTCACCAATAGGGTGACCCTTTTTCCATTCTTCACATTCTGTAGTATTAACAGTGATACCTGAAAACAAACTTAGGAAACATTCCCAGTACTCATCAGGGACATGTAAGGGTACAGTTCCTAGATGAGGTCTGGCACTACCACATACATAACAGTTTGACCTATTGTTGGAATGGGCATTATATCTCATCCATTCCAGCCATAGGTTTGTATCTGCATACCCTGTTTCTAACGCTATGGTATCTCCAAACGTGGGATCTGCTATGGCCATCATATTACCAAGGGTTTGAATGTGGGGCTTTAGAGGATTAACAAGAGTTTGTCTAGAGGTAAAATATTTAAGGTAAATTTCATGGAGTGCCCAGTTTGCCCTATAGGGGTACATGTACCTGGCTTTGTTAGGGTCATTCTAGTCAAGAGGGACTTCCCATTCGTATCCTTTTTATCTAATGCATTCTGTGGCTTATAACCCCAATCTGTCCCGGTGTTCCATCCAACTGAGCCCCAATAATCACAATTGTTACCCCTCTTTGAGCAATATATATTGCTCATATCATCGGATAACATTCTCCCAAGACAGAGAAATTTCCACATTATGGCATTCCCAAGCAATCATGTGGTCTACAAGAAACAGAAACTCAGCAGAAAAAAAACAAAACAAAAACCACTTAATACTTTTGCAGACAGATATATAGAAAATGGATGTTTAAGACAGAATGGAACTTGGGCTTATAGCAACTATATTTTTGCACAACCAGGACCTTGCGTCCTATATCTTTTAACCATTTCCCTATTCCAAAAGTCCAGTCAAAACCAGTCATATCCTCACGCAGTTCCTCAAAACATGGGAATCCATCCCTGGCACACTCAACATATATCAAAAACACACATAGTACATCCATCCCTGGGTCAGCTAACACTTCCTCTCTCTCTGGCTAACTCTACAAAAATAAAAATAGTTCAATAGTTCAGCATAGTTCAGAAAAATAGAACAAGTCTTTCACAGAGTATAAAGAAATCAGTTTAGACACCAGACATTTTGTTCCATAAAATGGCTAAGGGTAGCAATATGGCTGACAACAAGACAATGTCAGCTTCCACATAGTTCTTCTTTTGTTTGCTGGATTTTCACCACAAAGCTCTGTGCAACACCCCAATGGTTGAAAGGGTTATTACAGAACCAGCGGTATTAGACAGCACTGCACCTTCAGGACTTTCCAGGTTCTTGCGTGCAAAGTTTATGTCCTCATAAATAAGTATCTCAGTTTCTTCGGCCTGCATGGATAATGACCAAACAGATGTAATTGCAAAATACTTATTGCATGGTCAGCCAGAGAGATTGGTGTGTAGTCCCAGAAATCAGGCGGCACAAACACTCCAGGACGGTCTCTACAAACATACAAACACAAGGATCAATACAACATTAATTAATTACCTAGGCTAAAACTTAAATTAGAGATTAAGGTTAAACCCTTAATTTGTGTAACATGTACTTCTCTTATATTTGCTTATATTTTATGCAATCTGTCTTCTATGAAGTTTTACATAATACCCCTTTGGAATGCCTTTGCACGGATGAGAGTAGCACTCACTCTATAGAAATCCTTGTTAGGATGAATATTAAAACACTAACATATACATATGGGGATAATTCCCAATAACACTCTGTTCCTAAACTGGAACCTTGATTTGATATTCAAAATTAATTACTTTAATAATCCTGAATAATTCAATACTCTTGGATTAACACCTAAAACTATATTAAATATTACAAACATGAACCATCTGTGTATTAGGCTGGGGTTGTTGGGTGTGGGTATAGGTTGGAAGCTATGGTTGGTATTGAGGAATCTGTGGGGGTGGCTTTGGGCACTCATTTTTCCAGTGACCCTGCTATCCACAATTAGAACAGTGTGTTCCACCAATGCTGAAGTTGTTACCTCTACAAAAGTTAGACCCTTTGACCAAATCCTCTACCTCTGCCTTTATTCCATATGCAGGATGGGATTACCTAACTCACAGCCCCCTCTTTGTGTACCACACAGATATAATATTAATAAGCTTTTAAAGGCTGTATGGATAGTTAAATTGTGTATAAAAAGCAAGGTTGTCTAGGGGTATATACATCGACAATGAAAGCATAGCCTTCATATAGGGCTTGCAATACTGACAGTCTGTGTCATGAGCGTAATGCAGACATGCGGTTAGGTACTTTTCCATTGTTATAATATATTGAAAACACTAAGACCTTGCAAATTTTTAAAACGCATATTGCTTCCTGTACCTGGTGCCGTGCAAGGATGTAATTGGGACATATTTCAAATTGCATGTCAAAAGTCTAACCATAAAACTAAATGTTATACGCTTATCAAGAAAACAAGTTTAACCCGTTAGTGCATACTTTGGATAGCCTCTTTGCATAATTTGGCTCCTAGTGAGATTATTATATTTTTTTATTAATCCTCTTCTGGATCTGCAAAAATGCTTTCACTTTACCCATACAAATATAATACAGTAGTTTAGGAGATTAAAATTACCTCACTTATAAATTTCCGAAATTGTCTAATCTCTATTAAAATACCATGTTATTATTACCCCATAATCAATGAGACATACTAGATGAATCTTACTTTGACACAAACAATGCAATATACTTTAAAAGTAGAGTTAACTCTGAGCTGGACAATACTCCCCTATTAGAACTCCTTTATGAGGGAGAGACATCTTGTCCATTCAATCCTTTTTATCAGTAAAAGAATGACTTTCAGGATTAATCAGTTTGCAAATGGAAATGTGGAGCCACGATTTGAACAGCAGAAGTTTGCGGGGCCCCTTTCACGTGGGATGTAACAAGCGCTTTTCGTGCTCCATAGCGATAGCATACAATTGTTTCATTCTAGCCGGCTGGACAGCATTTCACCTTTTGTAAAAACACTAAATGCTTACGTTAATGATATGCAAATCACTCTGATAGTTAAACTCCTACACAATGGACAATAAAATACATGAAACACATAACACACCAATTCATTTCAAACCATATAACTCATACTCAGCATCCAATGTAATATTACATGTCATCTCACAAAACAGACATCTCACAAAACAGACATCTCACAAAACAGACATCTCACAAAACAGACATCTCACAAAACAGACGTAGTAGAAACACATAATGGATACCCAGCAGATATGCCAATACAGAAAACACATTCATGGGCACGCAACTACACACTCTGTGTCCCTCCTAGGAAACACGGGTAGACACAATATGAAAGCAGTCTTAAACTAACACCTCCAAATCTCCATTCCCATATAGCTATATCACACCACAACACAGAGCCTGAGCTCATAGAACTACTCCAACTCAAACTACTCTTGGCCAGAATGCTAGTATTCAACAGCTAATAAAACCGTTATTTGCTAGGGTATTTGACTGGCATTTTTATCAGTATCATTAAACTGAGACAAACTGATTCAAATATAATTTAAAACAACACAGCAACATATAAATGAAACCACTTTCCAGGTAAACTGCACACTTCACACATTATCACAGTCACCATTTACACAGAATAAACAGTTAACAGCTGTACTCTGAACATATTATTGTAAGGTATACCAATTTTAGTTTATATTAGATTTATTTTAGGGATTCTTATGTATACTTTTTTTTTTTAATTCTTATTAACTTCGTTACTTTAATCTACTATAGTATTGTATATAGAGAAAGGATCCATTTATATAGCGCGCTCATAACTCAAATATTTGTATGAAACGTCCATTAACTAATCTGAGATGATGCTGCATCAATTTTAAATCTTACAGAAATTTTGCAAACATCTGGACCAGATTACACAGACATGGTTTCACCAGAATCTTACAGAACTTTCAGAGACTTAAAAAAAAAAAATTATTCTATACCATGTTTAAAAGGCATGGCAAACCTTAGACCGGTCAGTCTCCAAGAGCCTTAGTAAAACAGGTAGAAACCTTTGTCCATAATCTCTGATCCAGGCTATATACCACAATTTAAAATAACAGAACACATATAATGTGAGACATAGAAGACACAAAACATATGCAGTAATTATTACACTGGATCATTTAAAAGGAATCTGTTGCAATAAAAAGGTTAGTTTACAGCGCAAAATGAAGCATGTGTTGGACCGCTGAAAATGTAAATGTTGCTCTCTTATTAACAAACAAAAATTATATTTACAGTATGGATCCTTTGCAACAAACACACAGGGCAGGGAAGATGTGCTGATTGGTATTCTATACAATTAATCCCATACGGGGAATTAACTTTCAAATACTAATGAAGTGACATTTTGTCTCAGTTATAAAAATACTGAGCTCATCATGCAAACAATGTAACACATTTACACTATCCCACTCTCATAGAAAGTGTAGTGGGCTTATGGTATTAAAGCAACAATCATACCAGGCACACAGATCCCATGTGAAATAACTTACAATACAACAGAGTAATAAACTTATACTTATATGCAACAGAAAGAATAAAGCAAAAGATTTAAGTAGGTCTATCAGGTACAACCTGCGAGCCAGTTCTTTTCTAATATACAGTACTGCTATCATATATATATGTATATATATTGGTCACTCAGGACCAGAACTTACATTTCCCATACTGCTGACTCAGGGTGGACACACTACTAACTTACCAAAGTGTGTCCCCAGTATAGACAATCACCCAATTGATGGAGAATCATTGTTTGCAATAAAGACATGGACACTACAAATGTGCTTTAACAAGATTCTCAGTGAGTATATTTTCAGGGTTAGCATATAAAGCAAAAAGAGTTTAACTATTTCATATCCTTACAGTCAGCACTACTGATTATAAACCTTATTTAAGCATAAAATACATATGAACAAGAAAAGTTAACTACTTCATATTCTTACATGGTAATTTCCCATTCCTAGGACAAATCTTTCAAACACTTATTCACACTCACAACCAGACTTAACTAATGACAATTAGAGGGTGGACAAGGTAAACCTGAAACTCTGTGCACACTATCGTAGTATATTCACTTATATACTAAATTCTCTGTCTATATCACTTTATAGACTTCCTTTTATCTGTCTAATTCTCTTATTAGACCTTCTCTAGTTCACTTACTAGAAATACATATATCTCTCTGTCTAGTTCCCTTACTAGACTAATTTAACGGGACCTTATGTAAAACTGAGTCACATAAAACACATATACTAAATAACCTTTCCTAAAATGATGTAGACTTACAAAACCATGGGGATCATAGATTCAGGGCGTCAAGATAGACACAAGGAATTACTACTCACCCAAAATGGTTTTGGCTACAATCCCACTTCTGACACCAAGCTGAAAGGTAAATCTGCTACTCTGGTGACTCGGTCCCTCTGGTCACTATTCTCCAACCCTCGATTGTCAGCTGAATATTCAGGGAAGATTTTTATGGAAGCGTATTAACCAGACACACACTTTTTGCTTTCCATAATCTTCTGATCGTTTATTCAAGATTCGCTATATTTATACTATACTTGTCACGAATATTGGTTACAAAAGGTTACAAAAAGGTTACAAAAAGGTTACACAAGATACATAAAAGAGGAAGTAGTTTCTGCTGTTACATTCAATAATCTAATCTTACAAAATATCACATATACATTGTGGTTAGGCATTTCCTGATACATAGAAACTGTCATAGCTTGTGACTTCCTTTCAATTATGTTTTGCAAGCAGTTCTGAAATACTGACAGATTAATTGTTTAACCCCTTAAGGACCAAATTTCTGGAATAAAAGGGAATCATGACATGTCATGTGTCCTTAAGGGGTCAATATTCCTTCACTGGGTGGCCACCATTTCCTGTATCAGAAGCACATGGTGAGAACAATGGATGGCGGCCATTTTAACTCACAGACACTGTGGACTTTTCAACACGGTGCCATCTCGCCAGTATTTGTTGCACAGAGACATCGTGCGGTGGTTTTGGACTATACAGCAGGGGACACATTATACAGTGATTGTTTTTTATTTAGCCTGTATATGTTCTGCAGAATCTGCATTAAACTGTATTTTCAAAGTACTGAGCGGATTAGATTTGAGAATTTTGGATATGTGGTTCACCCAAGATCCCCCAGTTCAGGATATATAGGTTGTAGGGTTATTGCATGTTTTTAGGTCCTGTGTGTTTTATGAAACTTCTTCTATTTCTCTGGTAGTTTTGTGTGGGGTGTCTGGATTGTATTTAACATGGATTGATTGTATGGCTGTTTTGTAGCAGCCCTAATAGATATTTATTACTATGTTTATTGGATTGGGAATAAAGACTGGCTATGTGACAGTACAGAGTTCCTGTTTTAACCTCAAAGTGAAATTATTAGATGCGACCCATTGGGGAAGGATTTATTGTATGCTGTTCCAGTTTGACTGCTAGGAGAGTAAACCTATTGGTATGGTTCCTATTCAACTGTCTACAGCATTCATATGCTTGAGAGAAGGTATACGCTTCTCTGGTTCGGTGATTTTGGTGTCTGCTGCAGTGCTTGGAGTCCTCAGGAAGCACTAGGAGCATCCTTTAACGGAGGTACCCAGTCGGGGTGCCAGGCGATCCGTTACATTGGTGGCAAGCGGTGGGATGGCATCCTAGTGCGAGGTAAAGCAGCTCAGAGACACAGTTCGTTTGGATTACAAAGTGAGGGCAACGCCAGTACCCATACAGCGACCCTATCTACAAAGGAACCAACGTCAGCAGCGCAAGCATGGCACCTAGCTACACTCAGGAGCAGTATGACAGAGAGTTTACCATGCGGCTGGCTTTCTTTGGACCCAACCCCCCGGAGAAATACGTGCAGTTCGTAAGGAGCCAGGTAGACGAGTACCTGCAGTTCATGGCAGATCCAGCCAAAGGTATCGGCCGCCCTATCCGGTGGCAGAGTGCGTTACGGGGACTCAAAGGTGTACCCCAGGGAGCTGAAGGTGCAGTCCTTCCTCCCCAGTGGCAGTGTGTATCCCAGGGAGCTGAAGGTGCAGTCCTTCCTCCCCAGCGGCAGTGTGTACCCCAGGGAGCTGACGGTGCCGTCCTTCCTCCCCAGCGGCAGTGTGCATCCCAGGGAGCTGAAGGTGCCGTCCTTCCTCCCCAGCGGCAGTGTGTACCCCAGGGAGCTGAAGTTGCCGTCCTTCCTCCCCAGCGGCAGTGTGTATCCCAGGGAGCTGAAGGTGCAGTCCTTCCTCCCCAGCAGCAGTGTGTACCCCAGGGAGCTGAAGGTGCCGTCCTTCCTCCCCAGCGGCAGTGTGTATCCCAGGGAGCTGAAGGTGCAGTCCTTCCTCCCCAGCAGCAGTGTGTACCCCAGGGAGCTGAAGGTGCCGTCCTTCCTCCCCAGCGGCAGTGTGTATCCCAGGGAGCTGAAGGTGCAGTCCTTCCTCCCCCAGCGGCAGTGTGTGTGTACCCCAGGGAGCTGAAGGTGCAGTCCTTCCTCCCCAGCGGCAGTGTGTACCGCAGGGAGCAGGGAGCAGAGTGTCCGTCAGTCTCGCACCCCAACCACAGGACAAAATAATGAAAGGGGAGACAGCTGGTCCCCCTCTCCACCAGCAGAGAGAGTGTCAGGGAGAGGAGCCTGATACCCCTCTCCCCAGCGGCAGTTTACAGTTCAGAGAGAGGAGCTTGTTACACCCTCTCTCCAGCGGCAGCCTAACCCAGCAAGGGGAGATGTTACACCCCCCAACAGTGCAGATGGGACTGTAGTCTCTGCACTTACAGCACAAGGGGTAGGGACAGTCGGTCCTGTTCCCCAGCCACAGAGCGGTGTATCCAGAGGGGAGACAGTCGGTCTCTCCCTCCCACAACCAGGCTCCCACCAGGCTACTTCCGTGGTAGCACTGGCATCAGGGCAGAGTACCGCTGGTCTCTGCCCACTCAGCAACCCACCAAGGCAGCCTAACAGTTGCCCACACAGTCGTGGTGAGGCACCTGGACATGGACAAAGTTCTCCTCTACCCAGGTGTAGTAACCAGTTATTGTGGGTGGGCTGTACTGCTGTTTCTGTTTTGTGGGTGGGTTGCTGGACTAACCAGGGCACTGACCGGCAGGAGGTCAGATACCCTGTTAGTCTAGTTGGTAAAGGGGAGAAGTGTGGCGAAACCAACCTCGCCACTGTGAACTGGAGAAGCCTGGTTGCTCGCCTGCTCCCTTTGGACTATGGCCCTGCAGGTTAAACCATTTATTTCCCCTGCAGAAAGGCTTATTTGTGTGATCTGAGTGCCATTCATCTAATAATGTGCACTCAGATCCCAGCTATCTGGGGATATGTGAAATGTCTGTGTGTTCTGTGTAAATGTGACTTTATGTATTTTAAAGTGTTTTGTGTCTTTTGCAACCATGTGCTTAATGGAGTCTTGTGTCTATCCTGGGAGATAATTGAATTACTCTCCAGGATAGAAGACTCTGAAACTGGTTTGGGCCAGAAAGCCATGCTTCATTTAGTCACAAAGGACTTTTTACTAACTTTTGAACCCCTTGTCTGATTTGTGCCATTTTTTAATATGTTGTTCCCCTGAATGGATTGATTGTGAATATGTAATTTTATGTGAATGTGATGTATGGTTTTGGAGTTATGAAAGTTGGGTAGAAGGTATGTTTTAACTGTATGTATAATTGAGTTTCCTCTCAGGATAAGGGGAGGGAATATGTGGGATGTAACTGTGATGTGATTGGTTGTTTTGTAACGCCCTGTGGGCTGTACTATGTTTGTGGATTGGGAATAAAAGAGACTGTATGTGACAGTACAGGAGTTCCTGCTTAACCCTCAAAGTGAAGTGTCGTCTCATTATTGGGGGAAGGATTTATTGTATGCTGTTCCAGTTTGACTGCTAGGAGAGTAAACCTATTCGTATGGTTCCTATTCAACTGTCTACAGCATTCAATGCTTGAGAGGATTCATATGCTTCTCCGGTTTGGTGGTTGTGGTGTCTGCTGCAGTGCTTGGAGTCCTCAGGAAGCGCTAGGAGCATCCTTTAACGGAGGTACCCAGTCGGGGTGCCAGGCGATCCGTTACAGTGTGTACAGTGAATGTAGTGTGTATAGAGCATGTAGTGTGTTTGTAGTGAGTGCAAAGTGTGTTTAGTAAATGTAGTGTGTTTGTAGTGAGTGCAACGTGTGTGTAGTGAATGCAGTGTGTGTGTGTGTGTAGTGCAAAGTGTGTTTAGTGAATGTAGTGTGTGTGTGTAGTGCAGAGTGTGTTTAGTAAATGTAGTGTGTAGTGAGTGCAGCGTGTGTGTAGTGAATGTAGTGTGTGTGTGCAGTGCAAAGTGTGTATAGTGAATGTAGTGTTTGTAGTGAGTGCAAAGTGTGTTTAGTGAATGTAGTGTGAATGTGTGTAGTGGATAGTGTGTTTAGTGAATGTAGTGTGTGTGTGTGTAGTGCAGAGTGTGTTTAGTGAATGTAGTGTGTGTAGCGCAGAGTGTGTTTAGTGAATGTAGTGTGTGTGTGTAGTGCAGAGTGTGTGCTTGTAAAGATGCAGTGTGTGTGTAAAATAGGGGGGAGGGGAGTATTTTATTTATTCATTTGTGTATATTTAAATTTTATTCCCCCTTCCCTGGTTCTTACCGTGCCAGGGAGAGGGGCGATCGCATTCCCTGGTGGTCCGGTGGCATGGTAGAGGGAGCAAGCCGCGGTGCATTGAAGATGGGGCCCAGCAGCACACACTGTCTTCCTTTCCAGCTCCTCTCTGACTAACTCTCGCAACACAGACCTGTGTGCTGTGTGGAGCATTGTCATGGTAACCTGTGGCAACGCTCTGGCAGCCACAGGGCGCAGGAAAATTAGACAGAGCGCAGCTGGAAAGGAGGACAGAGTGTGCTGCTGGGCCCCCTCTTCAATGTACAGGTAGCAGGGGGCCCTCTGTGCACATATATATAGCGAAAATCGCTATATATATATATATATATATATATGTGCACATAAGGAATGTGGGGCTCGGACTGCCAGAGTAGTTCGGGCCCCCCAGGACCGCCGGGCCCATGAAACCATTATGGTTGTCATGCCCTGATGGCGGCCCTGTATGTATGTATGCCAGTATCAATGTATGTCAGTATGAATGTATGTCTGTATGCCATTATGAATGCATGTCTGTGTGTGTATGGATGTCAGTAACTGTATGCATGTCTGTCTGTCTGTATGAATGTATATATGTATGTCTGTATGTATGCTTGTATGTATGTCTGTGCCTGTTTGCATGTCAATATGTATGTATGTGTCTGTATGTCCTTATGTATGTGTGTCTGTATGTATGTTAGTATGTGTCTGTCTGTCACTATGTATGGCTGTGTGTCTGTATATGTGTGTATGTCTCAGTATGTGTGTGTCAGTATGTATGCCTATATGCGTGTATGTCTTTTTCAGTATGTGTGTCTGTTAGTATGTATCTGTGTGTGTGTGTGTATCTGTGTCCTTTTGTATCAGTGTGTGTGTTTGTGTCTGTGTGTGTATTCCTGTGGGCGGGATTTGGAGGCAGACCCTGTGGGCGGCTTGGAGGCGGGCCCCCGGGGGGCCCAGACCCTGAGCTGAGTTAGGGGCCCTAAAATTCTACATACATACTGACATACATTCATACAGACAGACATGCATGTATACTGACAGACATGCATACATGTACTGACATCCATACACACGTACATACATAGATTCATAATGACATGCAGACATATATACAGACATACATTCATACTGACATACATACACTGACATCCATACACACATACATACATTCATACTGACATACAGACATACATATATACATACAGACATACATTCATGCATACTGACATACATGCATACATACAGACA